CCAGAGACCGGCTGATCTGCATAACACGGCGCACCCCGCCCCGCTCTCGCGGTCAGAATGGTCTCTACGCCGCCACGACGTGGCGGGAAGGAAAAGGCGCCAAACTGGAGGGGGAGGGGCGCGGGGCGTGAAGGGAGGCGGGAGCTGGGTGCCGGGCCGCGGGGGAGGAAGGATGGGGAGGGGCGTATCGATTCAAACCCAAACAATAACAAAGCCATCAAAGGCCGTCCGAGGCCGCCTCTGCCGCTTTCTGTTTCTCGGAGGTTTTTGGGTCAAGGGCTGGAGCTCCAGCATAACAAGTTGCCCCGAGACGAGGGGAGTTGGTGTGTCAGGCGGGGACGCCGGCGCGCCGGGTTGTGAGGGGACTGTGTGTGGGGATGCCGACGAGGGTGGTCTTTCTGTGTGACTCAAACCTGAGACCTCCAAGTCTGGTTGGGCGGGATGACGGCGCTCTGTGGCTTGGGTTGGGTCCTCGGGGGAGGGGGGTTGTGTGTGTTGGGGGGCGCGTAGGGGGCGAAGGATCTGCAAGATTGTGAGTCACGGCGGTTTCGTGGAGGGAGTGGGGGTGTCTCAGGCCTGGAATAAAACTGGGGGAGAACTCCGCTTCTTCGGGAAAGCGTTACAGATCTCGATTGTTACAGCCGGTTAAAAAGATCAGCCCCCAAATTCTCGAACAGATTTCTATTTAAAAAATGCAGAAAGGTGCCAGTGGATCTTGATTCCTAAGAAGTGATGTGTGTGAAAGTGCCCCGTAAATAGGAAATCACGAAACAAATGTTAGTATTATGATGCCAGATGCTGTCACAGCCCAGTCTGTGAGGGCGGGAGAGGAAAATTCCTGATCTAAACGAGGGTGGGAGGGTGTGCTTGATTAAATCAGCGTTTTCGCGTTGTAGTCACCTTTTCATCAGCCTGTTATTACCAGTCAGGCAATACCACCAATTATTGGCTGACCCAGTCTTGTTGTCTAAAAGGAAACCCCCTTTTCTCTCCCCATATGGAAAGAACACGGGAAAACTGGCCAATTCGACTTTCATCCTTTGTCCTTTTTAACTTCATGTAGAGTTGATAACGACCTGTGAAATGAGTTAATTAAAATTGTATGTAATCCATAAATTGAATTGTCTTGGCCTAAGTCGTTGAAAGCTAACTACATTCCGTTTTAATTTTTTTTCAAGCTTCTGCCATTTAAAGGAAAAATGAGTGAAGATCTGTATAGCTGTAGTCATTAATGAATTTAAATGTTTCATTAAAAGTTTTCTGCAGTGCTTGTTTATAAAAATGCCCAGATGTTTAACAACTTTTACGAATTTATCTCCTAAAATATTACATATTTTCCTTTTGTTCTCATACTGTGGCCCAACTCATTCATTTTTGATGACTAGAAGAAAACCCAAGGGAACAAGAATTATTTCCTTTTTACAGACAGGAAAATGAAACATAAGTAGGATGACACGGGGTCATAAAACAACTAAGGGAGGAGCAGAAATGACCCAAATTAAACTCCTGATTATTCAAAGTTTTCCTTTTATCAAGATCTAAAATTGTGTTTTTCGCTGAGCAGATAATCAGTAATGAATGCATGCCATCCCCACCCCCAACCCTTCTACCTTCCCTTTCCTTTCTCAAACCCTCAGATCAGATCTAGCCAAACTGGACCATTCCCAGTTGTTCTCACTCACCTAGCATTTTCTAGACTTCCCACCTTTGCTGAGGCAGTCAGTCTGTTCTGGAAGTGTCCTCCCCTCTTCTCCACTTTTATTCAAAGCCTTTCCACCCTTCAGGACACAGTTGTACTTCCATTTTAGATGGATGAACAAACTCCAAGCATTCATTCACTGTCCAGCCCACTCATCTGGCAATCATGCTTTCTCCTGATCTCTTTTTTGTTAATTAACTTTTCAATTATTTATGCGTTGTCTCCCTGGTCTACCTTGTAAGGTCCTTGAATGAATACTTCTTTATCCAACATTTGTTGACCAAGGGAATACTGTAAATCTTTTCATTCATAATGGGTCCCAACAAAATAGTCATGATCAAAGTCAACTTATACCAAATTTAAGTGAATTAAATGGGCGTAGGCAAAATAAAGTTGAGGTTAGGGGCAAGGCTTTAAATTGAGCCTGGTTTCAAATCTGGGCTCTGCAGCCTTCTGGTTAAGGGACACTGGTCAAATTACTTAACCTTTCTAAGCGTTAAAGCCCTAAATGGTGATAATAATAGCACCTACCCTATAGGGCTGTTTTAAGGAGCAGATAAAATTCTGCATGTAAAGTGCATAGCCAGGCACAGAATAAACTTCTAATAAATATTAGCTATGATGATGACAATATGCTGATTATGATTACACAATGGTGATGGAAAGGAAGAATTTTGGGATGGTCTTGCACCTTGCAGGGTTCCAAAGGTGAAATGCTGGATAAGTATTTTGATTTTAACCATCTTGGGAGAGAATGTGATTCAAAATAGTTGTAACACATTAAATCAACTTCAACCTTTTTCACTGTCTGTAGATCTTTGTAGGGCTAAATATTTAATCAGCGCTAAAGTGATTAACATTTAATATGTCTGCTATACATGGTGGGTGCTTCACAGCTGGAAGTTACACAACATGAACCATGTTGGGCAAAGAGCTTTTATTTACCTAAAACTGCTTATGAAGATAATTATTAAACAGTCAGCTATGTTTTGCATTAAAAGTGACGCTCCCAGGGTAGGGAGCTTGATGTTTTGATTCATCAAAATGTAGTTTTAATGATAAAAACAAGAGTTATCTGTGCTGTCTCAAAAAATCTAACAAAGAATCAGAAAAATCACCCTAGTATTAAATGGCAAGTGCTTTCGGAAAGATGAAGACCTTAATTACGCTAACTACTCTCAGGAAGGAGGAGAATTTGTTAATGTTAATTTGAACAATATCCAAATTAATCCTTAGGTGGTTTCCATATTCTACCTGATATGGATTTAATCAAGTCTTTGTTCGAGGATTGACATTGGCAATTTCTGTAATCACAAGTTTAGGAGAAGTAAATTTGAAAGAGATTCCTGCTACTTTCTTTTAAAGTACCTCTGAGTCTGGTCAGTGCATTTATATAACTAGGACTGTATAGCTTTTTCTCTATAAGCTATTTGCAATTAGTCAGGTGGAAATAATTTGAGTCTGCATTTACTTATTTCTCTCCTAGAAAAAGAGTTACTGCATTTTTTAAGTTTAAAGTTCAGTTTTGAAACATTCACCTTTGTTATTTTTATTCTCTCACTGTTTGGTGAAGCAAAAAAGAAGGAGAATGGATATGGGGAACCCAGGATGGAAAGGGGGAGCGTTCTGTCACATTGCGGGGATTGCAACCGATGTCACAAAACAAGGTGTATATAAACTTTTGATTGAGAAACTAACTTGAGCTGTAAATTTTCATCTAAAGCACAATAAAATTTTAAAAAGGGAAAAAATTGCAGAAAACCAACTGCAATCCACTTTTTCTTTGCCTTAAAATAGCTCCAATTTCCTCAACTATTGTAAAATTATTTACAAAATTAAAATTTCACATATATTTTATATGTGTGGAATACGTGTGAAAATCCACTGCAAACTGTAAGACATGAAATAGTCTAAATGACTAAAGCCCCCTTTTTAAGTTGGAATAATTGTGGTAGTAATGGACAGCTAGGAAATCTAGAGTGTCCCAACTTCAGAATGGCCAGGGAATCTATGTAGTCAAGTTAGAAATGGCATTTGTCCTTGATGTGATATTTGTTTCAAGTTTATAAATCTTTTTTAGCCAGTTTTCAGTTTTCTCAGCAAGGTTGGAGAAGGCAAGGGTTTTTATTTTCTAGTAAGGTATATTTAAAGTCATTCCCAATTCATTTGTTTTTTTAAGGAAATATAAGTAACCTAGACTTATTTTTGGAACTTTACACATTTAGTACTGACAATTTCAGTAAAAATGATTAATATTTGTTGAAGGCATTGTACACAAAGATTTTATAGTTCCTGAGTATTGCAAGATAGGCAAAAACAAAAGGGAGTAGCTTAGAACATATAAAGGCTACAGGAAGCCTGGAGACTGTTATAAAATACCTTATTAGAAGTCTAGGAAAATGTATGCCTCAGATCAAAAGACCAGGCACATGAACAAAAACCCTGTGTAAGTGACAAAGAAAAGGGTCCATCGTGTGTGTGTGTGTGTGTGTGTGTGTGTGTGTGTGCGTGCATGTGTGTGCGTGCGC